ACTTGTAAAATTCACTGATTCAGAGAGAGAAGGCGATGATAATTGAGTGCGGGTAGTTTGAGGAGCAGAAGGTTTTTTTTTATTATTTTTATTATTTTTTGGTACTGTTGAGTGAAGAGCAACTACGTCGAAAAAGGAACTGAATCTCGGGCCCGACTGCCTTCTGTTGTTCTTGAAAGTTTCCTTTCACCTCTGGGTTAAACAGTAAGCCGCAGAACCAGCTTAGAATTCCCCACGGCTGCAAACTCTGCAAGTTTGATAGAGTGTAGAGAAACGCTCAGATTTTTCACGCTCATATAATAGCTTCAAGCACTTCAACGAACTGGCAAACTCGTTTTCCCAAGCTTGCACTCGAGCAGTGAGGAAGAGTTCAGCAAAAGACGAACACCCAAAGGAAACGAACTCTTCACCTTCCAGGCGAGGCCCAAGCCCTAATCCACTGTACTATCGACGCAACAAGAAGACACTATAATACTCGATACATCGTATTCGATATTGTGAACAAAATTTTCGCCTGAGAGAATGAACAGACAAGAGTAAATTGTTTCAAGTGTATGAGCATAAGTCCTATGTCGATGTCCTGTGTATGAGTATGTCAAGATTGATTCCATTGATTCCAAACAAAACATATCGTAAAAAATTTTATCTTCGAATTAAGACAATGAACTGCACACACGAGGCGCTCAAAACACGAAGCAACATCTGTGTATCATATATATTGAGATATTCTAGAAATCCTAAGGAAAATCAAAGAATACATGAAAGTAGCTGAGTTGAGGCCATGAAGTAATGATACGCGAAATTCTGTCAAGAGCATAAGTTGTAAACCCCTGTTTGAACTATTCTTTTTAAATGGAAGCATGACTCAAAGTAGTAAGAAAGTGTACGCGCATAAAGACTCGCATTCGGATATACATGCATCTAAACATTCTTTTATCAGAAGAATGTCGGGACGCTCGAAGACAATGTCCACACCCACCTTGTGGGCGGAGCTACCTAGGGCCCTGCTGCGTTATGATTGGTTGATGTTCTCCAATTGATGATTTTCTCTATTCAGGTATTTACCCACCAAAGGGTGAGAAGATTGAACGTTTCGGCCCAGAAAGTCAGTGTGTACATTGTCTCAAAGCTGTATAAGAGCCGTGTAGTCATAACAACTTGGTTGCATCTATAGAAAACTATTATATTTGAATAGGATCATTGAGAATTATTCTTTACATTGGTTGCCCTCAATAAGAATGAAGACGGTAAAAGCACAGATGAGCACCGATAGAGAAAATATCAACGTGACCATCTTAGTAGAGTGCAAGAAGTAAATGGGCGAAAAATGAGAAAGCAGCTGCATAACAAGTTGACAAGTAGCTGTATGCTTTTGAATGGAAGACGAGATCACTTTCAAGGTTGCATTTGAACGTTACACTTACTTAATTGGGAACCAATACAAATTAATACCACAGTGAGAAACAATTTTTTATATACAAATTTGCCGTTTTCATTTCGAGCCTTCATTACGGATTTTTAGGATTCTTGTGTACGATCTCGTGATTGGCGGATCATTTGTCACGACCAATCATAGGAATTTTAGGCCTATATCCGTAGGAGACAAGCAGACAGGCAAAAGTTACGCACAAAACTCTAAGCGTTTGTAGGAGCCCTCTATTAGAAAGGGTATTCAAAATATTTTCATTTGATTATTTTAATTCTCGTTCTCCGTAGCAATGATGCATGCCGTTTTGGAGGAAGTCGCACCACCACCTCGGCTATTGTATGTTGCAGTCACTTTCATCGACAGCCGCCTCGTCGTCTCCGGCCCTTTCACCATGTCGACGCATTCTTAGTGACAAATGCTTCGTTCTCCTGAAATGGCTTAGATTTCCGACGCGCTTAACAATCGTCCAATCGATAAAGTCGTGCAATTTCGGTCGTTAAGAGATGATAAGTTAGTACGAACTTCCCTTACTAGTAATCTGGCCATACCTGATTAAGCTAGCACTGCGACTAAGTTTGCAGGTCTCATCCGATGGCCTTCTCTCCAGCTTCTCTTTTTCCTTCTCTTTCCTCGGAGACACCTCAAATCAGGTAGCGAACTTAGTGATAAGTTTGATTCTATGATTCTATAGAGGATCAGAACTTACTCGTAACGAACGATTTCTTTTGAGTTCTCCAACATTCATGGGAATAGCCAGAGTTGCAAGAGCCGGAAGTGTCAGTTGTTTACCCATAACCGGTGGATGGCCATTTTTCTGCAATCAAATATGCAATAATTTCTGCAATGCAAGAACGTCTTCACAGGTTTCAAACGCAGCATTGAGTGTGGTCTCAGTAGTGTGATGGACAGGAGCTCGGTGCCCGGACAGGCCAAGTACGAGTTCGAGTCCCGCCCGAGGCCGAAGTTTTATACACAAATCGCCAGCCTTAAGAGGAGTTCATACTGTAGTTGTTTTTCGAAAGGTGACTGTTCAAAAGAACTTGTTGAGCCCTAGTTTCAAGTGGACCCATCGGTATTCGAGGCAAACTACAGGTAGTCGTATTGGGAGCAGTCCCCGCCCGGTGACTCGCCCCTGTGAGCTTTCAAATGGCTTATCGATTTCGGATTGTAGTTGGATGCACCACGTACCCCACAGGGATAGGAATTCTGAGTTAGCTGATCGAATACTCACTAATTCCTCTGGTGTCGATCGTGGAGATTCCTTGTTTGATGGGCGTGCACGAGCTGTATTCACCCGTCGAAGCGCTTGATGCTCATTGTTCAATTCGTCCGTCGTCGGACTGTCCGCAGGATCATCGAGACCACCGCCTCCGGCCTGAAATATTCACTCCCATCATCTTACCTTATATTTAAACTTAGACCTAAACTTCGTATAACAAGGGCTGTGAGGACACTGATAAAGTTAATGTTGAATTACCTTGCAGCGAGGAAATCCGCTAAGTTCAAGAAGCGTCCGGAAAATCTCAGTGACTCTGAAGTTATTCTTGGCTGAAACTTCCAAATAGCGCACATCAGCGCTCAGGCGGCTAGTGAAAGCCTTAGCTGTGGCCTCAAAAATCTGAAAAAATAAATGAATTAGTTATCGACGGTATCATCTCGATAACCAGTTCATAAACAATGTAAACAAATGAGAGCGCTCAGCTTTGTTAAGTCGAATTAAGGCTTTCTAACCTCCACTGTAGTGGCATTTCACTGCATGCTTCAGCTAGTCTGTAACTTGTGGGATACCAGCCGATGTTCGAGCCAGTACCCTCATCTCCATAGAAAAGTCCGGTACCACCAAATTCAGGGGGTTGTGTATGGAACTGGTTGACCCAAAAGAT